TATATATATATATATATATATATACATATATTTATAAATATAAAAGTTCTAACGTTTTTACCTTGATTCAAATATTTTAAGTATTACTGAACTTGAATATTATTAATAATAATAATAATAAATCATTTATTTAACCAGCAAAAACATAGGATATACAAAATACTTAGAAACTTAGAACTAGATTGCTGTTGAGACATTTCGAAAACCGTACATTATCTGCGGTGCTCACACTAGGCGACGCCTGTATCGTGAGCACCAAAAACGTATTTGACATAATCAGACATATTGCCTCGGTTAGAGATATTGTTTTACAGGTATATAAAGTACATAAAAAGTGTGATGTAGATAAATATAAATACATATATATGTAAATAAGATAATATAGATATAGATAAATGTATATATGTATATATATATATTTATATATATATAAAAATAAAATTATGTATCTTATAAGTCTTTTGTATGTATTTATAATGGTCTTGCAATAAGTTTTTCTGTGTCATCGTACGAGAGAGTAAGAAGCCAATTTAGGAGAATCTTTTTGGCTTGTCTCACAGTACACCTTTTTATATCACAAATTTTTACAACTATGTTATAGACAGAGTTTGATGAGAAAGGGCTAAAACGTCTTGCGAAAGAAGTCTTAACAGGTGCAACAGGCAGACGGAACACACGGCTCTTCAACATTTGGGTGTAGGTTTCCGAGTTTGTGACATTCGTATGTATTATTAAACATGTTCTAAGAATATACAATTGTCGCACATTTAAAACACCACTCTCCCTATAGAGATCAATCGTTGGGTACCTATAAGGTTTCTTAAGCATAACCCGTAGGACAGACCTTTGAGCTCTCTCTAAATTAATCATGTTACATTTGGACGCGCTGCCCCAGACAGAGATACAATAATAAATGAGCGACTGGCAGAGAGCGACGACTAAGAAAACTGATTTAAGTATATCTATGCACGCCGAATCTCGTAGTTTTCTCATTATGTTTATTACTTTGCGTACTCGGCCAACCAAAAATCCAATATGTGATTTAAACTGCATTTTTTGGTCTATGATAACACCCAGGTACTTGATTTCGTCAACCCTTTGTATAGCTTTACAGTCACACGTGCTTTGATTAATCATACAAGAGTGTATATTTACGACAGAATGAGGTGGAGGTGCCGTGGCTGATGTTTTGTGGAAACAGATGTACTTTGTTTTTTGGGCATTAAGTGTTAAAAGATTAGACTTAAGCCAATTAGATATAATCCTCATTCCTGCTTTTACTTTGGGAAAGAGGTGGTTCCAGGAAGTACCATAGAATAGTAATACGGTATCATCTGCGTAACATATTATGTCGGAATCCGTTAAATGATTCTGGTGGATATCATTCATATACAATATGAAAAGTGTTGGGCCAAGAATACTGACTTGGGGTACGCCAAAATTCACTTCCCGTGGGCTGCTCGATATATTATTTACTTTTAAAATTTGTCTGCGATTGCTAAGGTTACTTTTAAACCATTGCAAAGCAATGCCTCTTATACCAAACTGTTCCAGTTTTCTTAAAAGTATGGGAAGGGAAACTGTATCGAAAGCCTTGGCTAGGTCTAAAAAAACTCCTATACAGGCATTACCCGAATCTAATTTAGAAGAGATATTAGATGTTACTAGTGTGACCGCCTCATCCTGTCACCTGTCACGCCTAAACCCAAATTGATTCGATGAGATCAAACCATTTGACTCGCTGTAGTGTATTAATCGTTTATTAACTATTTTTTCAAGCAGCTTAGAGAATACTCCTAATAGCGAGATAGGTCTATAATTATTTGGAATATCCCGATTACCTGCCTTATGAATTGGGCAAACCGAAGCCAGCTTCCACATTTCTGGGAATTCTCCTGTGGATAGACTTAAATTAATAATGTAGGTAAGTGGCTCTAAAATAAATTCCTTAATTTCCTTAATCAAAAAGTTGTCTAGTCCATCAATTCCAGGTGCTTTATCATTTTGGAGTCTTCTAATAAATGAATCAATCTCATAGACATCAGTAGGTTTAAGGAAAAAAGAGTTTTGCTGGGTGTTATCACATTTGGTGTTGGTGGCTAACTGTTTCTCACTTATGTTGAGGTCCATTAAAATTTTACTTGCTAATTTTTCCCCAACTGTAGAGAGAGAAGTGAGCGTTACAGATATCGAAGGCTTTCTCGGGATCTGAAGTTCCTTCAGCCCGTAACAACTCACTGGAATCTTTTTTTGTTGTTAGATATATGACATATTGTTTTTATCGTTTTCCAAAGCTTTCGGGGATTGTTTTTGTTCTCGGTAAGTTCTTTGTTTTCATATTCTTGTTTAACTTTACGAAGCAGGTCATTGCAGAAATTACGATACCGAGTATATGTTAAACGAAGCATTTCATCTTGGGGGTTTTTCCGTGTTTTAAGGTGAAGTTTATCGCGATGTCTCATGCAGCGTATCAAACCTGGTGTTATCCAAGGCTTAAGATTTCGTTTTGATCGATGACACGAGAAGGAATGTTTGTAGATTATATCACAAAGCCGCTGGGTAAAAGTATTTACTGCATCATTCAGTGCAAGTTTTTCTAGTAGACGCTGCCAGTTAATTTCTGATAGTTTTGATTTTATTGCAATCATATTTCTCTTCAACATGATTGTGGAACGCTCTTTAATACCTGACAATGTCTCATAAATTGCAGTCTTTTCTTCAGTAATTGCGATTCCTGCCATGACCAAATCGTGATCTGATAAATCTGACACACATACGGCGCCCACGACTGGATTCGTACATTTAACGAATATATGGTCAAGGCAAGAGTTTTGTCTCGTGGAGAGTGTGATAACGGGGGTAAGTCCATGCGCAGCTGTTAAACATAGGTAGTCATTGCAATGATTCATAGAATTTGCTAAAATGTTTATGTTAAAGTCTCCTGCAACTAATAGTTTGGCTTTATTTAGAGATAGCAAGTAATTGTTAATTCTAAAGGAAGGTGATCGATAAATGCCTAAAATTGTGATCGTGTTAGATAAAGTAACTTGTAAGCAATTTGCCTCTAATATATCTGGCTGAGCAGACGTTGTATTCCAAGACTCCTTAACATAAATTACTACACCGCCATTTTGGTTATTCTTCTTTTGAGTGTTGTATGAGATATATCCACAAAGTCGTGGAATAATTGACATTTCATTTAGCCAACATTCTGTCATGACTACAACATCAAAATCTATTTTAAATCTTACAAGAGTAACTAAAAAGGTATTAAAATTTTTATGCAGACTTCTAATATTGAGTACCAATATTTTAAATTTGTAGTTTGGAGTTAAAACTGTACTGCAGTTTTCAGGTTCTAAAAGTGAATGGCAATTTATCTTCAACGAATCAATTTCATCATTAACGACGTTATTAAAAGCCATGCCGATGAAAAATATAAGTGGTAGTACTATTCACATAAGATGCATTGATAAAGAATAAATTGCCACTTCGTATCAAAGCACTTAAGTTATTTAACCTGAAATAACTTTTATTTTGAGTCCTCTCTATGTGATATGACGACACTTTTGATAAACATTTGTAATTATAAATATAAATGTACCTGTAGGTGTAAATGTAATAAAAAATGCAATAAAAAATAATATAATATTTATCGGTGTATATAAGTATAAGTAAATTATGTAGTGTATTGTACATTATAAATAATAAACTTTGCTTACTTATCAAAAGAATGGGTAACCAGAACAATGCGAAAAAAATTCTTAATGTAAGGGAGAAACAAAGAACAAATAAAATAAAATAGATTACCATACAGGAAAACAAAAACATATGCATACAATTGCGTTTTACGTAGACGTTATGTAACAGGGTAATACTTACTACTTTAAATCTTATATTAAGTTGGAACTTTAAGGAGTATACAATGTTATATTTTAATGCTTTAACAACAACTACAATTTTAAATAATTTAAAACCTAGGCTATCAATAATTTTAAGAAGGCACCTTGTTGTTCTCTGTTTTTGAAGAACCGAAAATTTTATCGATATCTTCACGTGATCGAATATGAATTGCAGCTTTTCCTTCTTTTTGGTGTACATATATAGACCCACGATTACACCAACAATAACATTATTAACTAGTATTATAACGACAAGTAGCACTAGTGGTTGTATCACTGTCCGGGAACGCTATATAATATATATATATATATATATAGCGTTATAAAGAAAGTTTTTGTCCATGTATATATATATATATATATATATATATATATATATTTCGAAAACTATATATCGACTAATATACCGATGACCTCACGGCAAAAAATTCGAAAACTATCAACTTTAATGTACTTGCAATGTTTGGCGCCATCTAGTATGGATACTTAAAAACATGGAACACCTCATAAATATCGTTTGACAATGACTATTTATAACGACAGATGTACCTTTGCCCTTAAAATCATGAATAATTTAATTTTTAGTGCTAGTCTGTTGACTCAAAATGAAACTTAATATGAGAATATTTGTAGATAAATGGACATAAAAGACGATAGGCCAAGTTCCTTGATCTTTTTCGATATGATTTACATAAGAAATATTTTTTTATATGAGAAGATGGCAAGTGGCGGCTTACCTGATATAAGTGCTGACCGCCACCCATGGTCATTTGCGACAATCGTAGGGTTGTTGATGCATTGCCACCTTGTAATATAGTGGGCTCCGGCTACCTCGCTCACCAGACGAAGCGCAGAAGTGTGACACTTCCACCTCACGCCGCTCTTCTGTGAGGTCGTGGTACTTACCCGGACGGACCTGCCCATTCGTGCAACAGCCGAAGCTGTTGCGTGGCGCTACCACAGTTAATCTACATGATAACTTCAAGAACATCTAAAAGTTTGTTTAAACCACCAATTTTGGTCATATTCCAAGTTCTAGCTATATGTAAGCTCAACATCACCGTAGTCTTCAGTTACAATAAAAGACAATCCGTATCAACTGTACTTTATTATGATTTCCTTGATAGAGGAATAGCATCCGGAGATCAACACCAAAAGATAGAACAACATTAACAGAGCGTTTTTCCACAAGATGTATTTGAATCTCCCCATACCCCGCTCCCATTTGTGCACGGTTTCGACAACTATCGGAATGAACAGTCCCAATGTTGAAAAGAAAATCGCGCCGACGAGCCCGATCAACAGTTCTAGATCTGGAACAGCGATAGCCAGAACAACTGAAATCAAAGTTTCCCAAATCAAAAATTTTGTAACAACGACGTTTTAATTGTGCGCAGCGACAATTTTTTACAGCTAACCATGGGTTCGCTTAACAGTGTTATTATTTTAAGAGTGTACTCAGAGACGGCCTATGTCTGATAAAATGATATTCGAAATTTTTCATTTCATTAATAAAATTTTAACTCGTCGTTGATTTAATTATTTAGACGGGTATACAGACAAGAATTCTTTTTCCTTTTGTTTTATTAGACTTTTATTTTTTAGCTTCGCTACACACCTTAACTCTGGTGAGGCGGAGACGGAGGTAACCAAAACGTTACATCAAGGATAGTTCTCTTGCACCAATTTAGTATGCAATTAAAGAGAACGCTTATACATAAAATTATTCATGACCTTTGATTATATATCATACCAAGTCAAGTTTATATTTGAAAACATGAAAAGGGTATAACAAATTATAAAGTTTGTAACATATATGGAAAGTTGAAGGCAAGGCTTTGTTGATTTTGCGCGAAAGTAGCGATTCTAAATTATACGAGACAGTTGTTGACGAGTTTGGTGCACACACTGTCAGACTTTGATTAAAGTGTTTTTAGTTTGTTTTAAACGAAAATTTGACAAAATACATAATGTATACTGACCAGTCAGAATGACGCTAAAAGTTCTGAGCAATATTTGCCCGACGTTGTAATACTTCTGCCTAATTGAGCCCTTAACTCGCGTCCATATTATATCCATCGGTGCGTACATTTGTAAGCAATATGTGAAATAAACCGCTAATGCGACCATCACTTTGGCTGTTAACGCCAAACTGAAAAATAAAATTATATTATTCATATTAGTCATAATATATTCATGAAATCTGACAGGAAAACACGATTTTACGATGCTTTTAGTTCGATTGCTGAAAACAAATAGAGGGTGACGTAGTAAATCGATGCAAATAGAATACATAAAGACAAACAAGTTAACGGATCACTTTAATGGTGATGCTTAATTAAGGTGATGCAGACCAAACAGCTTTGGCAAAACTGGACCAAGACCTCATCATTGATTAAGCAATATGATAGGTGTTGATGACTATATTGTATGGATCATCGAGTATTAACAAATATGCACTATTTACACTCCGACGGCCGATTTTCATACTCAGCTTGTGGTGAAAAGAGATTTCCCTTCCCAGTCAAATAAGACCCGAGTACTTCACAACATCACACTGCAATCGCAACAAGCAAAGGAGTATCGGGATCCGCGAGGCTATTGAAATAAAGAAGTCGAAATTTAAAAAAAAAGGAGCTTACACACATTACAAAAGTGAAGTGAAGATCGAAGTATAGTTTCAAAGTAAACACGTGTACCACAATTTTAAATGGAAAAATCATTGGTCCTTTTGACCGGCCAGAGGTCTCGAAGAGGAATGGCGAAGCTTACTTGAATTACCAGGTATTCTAATTTACCAAATTTTGCAAGATTGCCCGGCTGACTAGGCCCGCTTAGTTAGAGAACATGTCGGTAAGGAATACCCAGGCGGATGGATAGAGCGTTCTGGTAATCTCGTGGAAAGCCCGTTCACTACACTTAAATCCATTTTTTTAATGAGGAGCGGTAATAAGCGGTAAAATGTAGCCAAGCTACGGCAAACAATAATGTAAGCACTTGACTTTGTAAGTAACCGACAATTCACCCGTCTGATACTGAGACCTTTTTAAGGAGATTTCATGAATGAATAAATAAATATTTCGGGATACATTTTTACACCACATTATCTTATCATTATCATAATATACATATATAGTTGCAAAAAAACCCGTACGTGTGATCTTTGACCCAGAGCTTAACTATTTTTCCAGGTTTCGGATCGATGAGGATTTTTCAGATTTCATTTATGATAGTGTTTTGAACAATCGTACCAATTTTGAGCTGGGTGTGAATTTTTGTATCTTAGCTCCTATTTTTTTGGTCTAATTTGATCGGTCTACTCGTCAGATAGATATTTAAAGAAGGAAGTTTTACTGTGATTTGTATGCGTTTATTGTTGTCAAAATTTCATTTTTGAAATAATAAAAATGTAACGAAAGCCATTATTTTTCGAAATATCACTTTCAAATAACATATATTGAAAGTTTTGGAGTCTTCGTGATGATAATTCATTAATTTAACACATGCATGCATGCTTTGAATTTTAACATTCCTTTTCTCGAATTTTTCCGAGAAAATCGGCTATCTTAAGAAAAAGTCTAAAACTGCAATACCTTCGGAACCATTTCTTTAACTAAAAAGCTTTTCCAAAGGTTTTCCTATACATTATTGGACTCGATATACATATTATAATATAGATATAACATAAAGTACAGATCACTTTTGCCTCATCAGATCTTTTAGACCAATCGTGTTTTCCTGTCAGATTTCATGAATATATTATGCTGAGTATGAAAATCGGCCGTCGGAGTGTAAATAGTGCATATTTGTTAATACTCGATGATCCATACAATAAAGTCATCAACATCTATCATATTGCTTAATCAATGATGAGGTCTTGGTCCAGTTTTGCCAAAGCTGTTTGGTCTGCATCACCTTAATTAAGCATCACCATTAAAGTGATCCGTTAACTTGTTTGTCTTTATGTATTCTATTTGCATCGATTTACTACGTCACCCTCTATTTGTTTTCAGCAATCAAACTAAAAGCATCGTAAAATCCGCAGTGGGCACAGTTACAATTTTCAAACGAATTCATTGCAAGCATTAGTAGTTAATTATATGCATCTTCACCAAAGGCCACTCGATGATTGTTTTGTAAATTTTTAAAAATGTTTTCTTTCTAGCTCTTTATGCAAATATCCAGTTGTTTTGCTTGAATTTCTTTATCTTTCCAAAATTTCTATTCCCTATTGATTTGTTGTCTAATATCTCAGTTATAACGTAAACCAAATCTGACTGTAATAATTATCTAGGAACACAAACTCTATTTCAATAACACTGTCATTTCTCTTCTGCCCAAGAAATGTAATGATTCTTATATTATGTTTAATATCATTAATATATCATTAATATAACAGTGTGCAATTATCGTGTTTCAATCTATCCTGGGGTAATAAAGAGACAATTCTGTTAAATATACAATGTGTCGTATTTAGGACGTTATCCGGATAGCAAAAAAATTCTAGGGAAATCGTAAGTTTTAATTTTTTTCCAATTTTAACAGTCTTTAATAAGAATCTTACTGGTACACAATTTTTTTTTCACCTTAATTAAGAATAGCAGCTGTTTTAACCGTATAATGGTAGATCTATGTAATCATGGTAATTATGTGATAAATAGAATAAAACTAGCATAGTGTAGCACGTAAGGAAGGTAAAAAGCAGTTAAATCACGCACTTACATCTCATCCTGCGGCAGATTTAGAGTGATGCTGCCTTTGGCATCCTCGCCATATTTCAAATAACCGAATATACCGACCACCGTGTACAGTGCGGCGACGAGAGCCATTGTGATATTCAGCACGCCGGGGCAGCCAAGGAAGTGTTGCGGATTCTTCATTTCGTTCTCAACCGGCATCACGACGTTGATACCTTCCATAGCGAATATTGCTGTGCTACAACAGATGCCATTAATATAGATGTTGAAATATAGTTAATATACAAGAAGTTACATTCAGATTCCATTAATATTATAGATGATGTAGTTATGATAAAAGAAGTTTAAATTTAAACTGCCCTTTTGTCGTAGACTGTTTATCCACACATAATAGCAATGTTTTAAATAGGTATAACCGTACGAATGATAGGTATGGTTATAAATGAGGTATGATCTGTTTTAGTCATGGCAAAAAGGTCACTACTAAAGTACTAGATCATCTTTGAGATTCGTTACATAAGACCCTACTGATAAAAGACTCATAGACGAAATAAATGCAACAAAGGAATTTAAAAATAACTAGTGAACGGCAAATAAACCTTAAAAAGAGTGGCCACTCTGCTATGCCCGATACAAGCTTCACTTCAGAAAACTGATCCACGTCGCTAAATGTATAGTAGCATGTCACCAGAAACGTCAACAGCAGGCAAATGTTCGCCAACAAGGAAAATGGAACGAGGAATTTCAAATGCCTCACTTGCGTCAAAACGATTAGAGGCAGCAACAAGAACCCACAGTACTCCTTCGCAGTAAACGTTTGGGCCGGAATGAAGTGATCGAAAATCTGAAATGACAAAACAACTGTTAATCAAATCGCACCTCGTAATTTCCATATATTGTATACTAGCTTTTCGCCCGCGGCTTCGATCGCGTTGAAGCCGCGTGTCCTTTCTCAGGTTCTAGACTATCTGTGTACCAAATTTCATTTAAATTGGTTCAGTATTTTTGGCGTGAAAGCGAGACAGACAGACAGTTACTTTGGCATTTATAATATTAGTATGGATATCGTACAATGTAGTCAAGCATTACTTTTCTATCTAATATACTATGTTATGGTCTTCGCACTTCAATCTCTTGTACAAAGCATAATCCGTCTTTCTGATTAATTTCTTTTGAACATTAACGGCGGGGCACCTCCACAGTGACTAACAACGTTAATTCATTCATGTAACACTCATCGATCAGGCCAAGGAGGGGTTAAAGTATTCCGGACCCACTACGGGTTCAACAACATTATTCATTTCGTTCAACAACATTTCGTCCTAGCCTATAGCAAACCAGCCAATACAACGTGTGCACAAGGTTTCTATGACCTCCATTCTGACTGATTCACCCAACAATCAAAGCACCAAACCCCACGCACGCATGAGCTAAAATATGGACCAATCTCTATCCCGCGTGTTTTAAAAATTCTACGAACTCGAAGCTAGATCATCATTCAATAAAGCATGATGAAAAACGATTATTTGCCCCTTGGTTTATTACAATTATACATTTACCTTCACATGCGCCAATTTACTAATGGTTCTTAATAACCATAATATCTTACTCGAAAAACCTCATGTTACAATTCTAGAATTTTGTTTGCGATTCTAGATTTGCTTATTCTTGAGGCGTTTTCCTAATATCAGACAAATACTGCAACGTTCAAAAGACACAATTCAATGTCTTAGGATAAATTTCGGCCGCATAGCTTAGTTGGAAAGTTCGAATCCTGCAGTCCCGCAACTTCTATTTATTTATTTATTTTATAATTTATGTACACAGAGTTATGGCAGAGATGTAAATAGATGAAAGAATTTTTACAAAGGCCCTGCTTATTCCATAAGAAATTTCTTCCAGCAGACCTGTGACTGGAAATTGGTTACCGACGGTAGTTAATTGTGTACATACATCAATTATAATACACGTATATGCAATAATTATAAATATGATATCATTACTAAAATAAAATATATATAAATACATAAATACACATATATACATACATATTTATACATAAATAAGTAAATAAATATATAAATATATATATATATATAAAATTTATACTGTCAAGGAAAGGTAGTGATCCTTAACTCTTTTCTTAAAAATCGATATAGTTTTAGATTCCTTGATTATCGGTGGAAGTGAGTTCCATAATCGAACTGCATGAACAGTAAAGGAATCTGAATATGAAGCGCTTTTATGGGGAGGGAATTCAAGGAGGGTTTTAAGATGGGAACGGCAAGGAGCGTACGGTGGACGAGCGAAAGCAAATCGCTCACGCAGGTAAGATGGTGAAGTAGGGCAATACAGGATATTATAGAGCACATAAAATCCTAGTGTTCCTTCGAAATCGTATTGGGAGCCACTTGAGATCCTTGCGAAGATGAGAGACGTGATCAAAGTTACGAAGTCCAAAGATAAAGCGTATACATAGATTTTGCAAGCGCTCAAGCTTATTTAGAAGCCCCTCAGTAGCATCCAGGTAACAGGCGTCAGCGTAGTCTATGATGGGTTGGATGAGCATTTGGGCCAGAGAGATTTAAGTCTTTAAGGGCAAGACACCCTACATGGAGGCATTTAAGAGCATGAAAATAATAGTGAACTTTTCGACTAATTAATTTCACTTACATGTGCACGCCAGGAAAGATTAGATGACATTATTATCACAAGATCCTTGACAGTTTCACTGTAAGGTATGGGTATATCGCATAACTTTACGGGGGGGTATAGTAGAGAAATTGATCGAGTTTCTTGCATACCTAGTACCTAGTGGCATTAAGCGTCAGTCCAAATGATTTCGACCAAGAGTTTATTCGGTTTAAATCTTCGTTAACAGTAGCAATAGCTAAGTCTGCTTGTGCTGGAGGAAAATGATGATAAAGCTGCAAATCGTCTGCATAGAGGTGAAAATTGGAAGAAATAACGGTTGTGACCGAGTTAATAAAAATAGAAAAAGGTAAGGGAGAGAGAACGCCACCTTGAGGCACACCCGCGCTTAATTCACAAGAGTTAGAGAATGAATTTTCTATGCGAACGCGCTGCGAGCAGCCACGAAGATAGGAATCAAAACAATTTATGGAGGAAGAGGAAATGTTAATTGAATGAAGGATGCCGAATAAAATATCAAAATCAACAGAAGAAAAAGCGTTACTGAAGTCAAGCAACATTTTTTAACAAACAGGTGTTAAAATCACCCATTAAAATTATATGATCATATATAGGGCAAAGATCAGCTAGTACTTTGTCAAAGTGATCAAAGTAATCATTGGATAAATTGGGACTGTAGAAAACAGAGAGTAAGATTTTTGATTTATTTACCGATATTTCTAGGAATAAGTATTCGGCAGATTCAAAATACTCAGACGGGGACTTGCAGATGATTTTATAGGGAACATCGGTGCGAAGGTAGATAGCAACACCGCCACAACTTTTACCGATTCGATCATTTCGTATAAGAACATAACCAGGCAATGCGTATTGAGTAGATGGAAGAGATGGTTTAAGGAAAGTCTCAGAGATGAGAAGCGCATCAAGGTACTTACTGCTGAAGGATGCTAGAAGATCAGAGTAATGACTAGGAACACTTTGGGCATTTATGTGTGCAATGTTAAGGTTATCGGTGTTAGGGGTACACAGAGAAGATAATAGATCATGCAGTGTCAATGCTTGAGATGGATCACTATCCGCATTGATAAAACTATCCGATGACGAACAGGAAAAAAAACTTTCGTTAAAATCAGGTAAATCATTCATATTTCTATAATGTGTGTAAATTAAAAATAAGTAAATAAATTTAAACTATAATAGATAATAAGTTTGTATTAATAACATAAAATAGAATAATAACATAAAAAGAAAATGAAAAACAGGCCTATACCTACCAAACCCGCCATTCATTGGTATAGTGGAAGAAATTTGTAATTCTATTCTTGTAGTCTATAATGTACTAAATATTACTAAAGAATAAAAATATTAAACAAAATAACAAGCAAAATCTAGTAGAAATCAAACAAAAGAAAGTATATGGAATTGTAAATCTCAATCTAAAATTCAAACTAAGATATAATAGGATAAAAACTAAAATATCGATAGAAATTATTTACTTCTAACATACGTCGTTTTGGCAACATGCTATGACTATAAGCAGTTTTTGAACGCAACTGTCACTGTCAGTTGTCAAAGAAAAATTATCAAAACATAGAGAAGCCATTAATCGAAGAAGAAGAACATTAAACAGTGACAAACATGAAATAGCAAAACAAAAAAAAAGAAAATAGTAAAAATGCAAACTACTAAGTTGAAGTGTACAATAGTAAAATTAAGTACTACCTACAATACCTAAACTATGTCTACTTGGGATACATAATGATACCATAAAGGAGTGATTATAACTAGCATGCCAACAATATTTTAAGGAGCAAATAAGTAAAAAAATGTATATACTAGCTACATGTATAAAATTACAGTGGAGAGAAAAGACATAATACTATAATATAAAAGCAGACATTTAATTGCGTTTACGGCACTTTCTTGGCACTTTCTTGTATACTTCTGTTGATTTATTTCAAAAAATGTATATAATTGATTGTTATTTTATTCTACTAAAATATATTTATTTTGCTGCTGTGTCTATTCTGTTAAGGCTTGAGAAATGAAAACGATAATAGATCTTATATTTCTAGCCTACCCAAGGAGGTAGTAAATGAAACTAGTGTATGGCAGTTATATATAATGATTTCGTTTTTTAGTTATAATGATGAAGAGTTATATTACCGAGACAGCTCAGAAGGAGGCACATACATTTATTTGTATTGTCATGATTGTGAGCCTAAAGATTATTTTGTTTACGCTTCCGCAGCTTTTTACTCCCCTATGACGTAAACAGGCTGCAGATGTTGATGACCTCGGTTTGATGGAGTAGACTGTAGTAAAATGGGAAAACAACCTCGGCACTAGCGCGCGCAGCGAGGTTGTTACGTTGGGCAGCGTGGAACGTGACAGGTCCCCAGCCAAAAAAGATCGCATCGTAATTTGAAGACGTGATTCATCCAGTCTCAATTCCTTCCTGGAATTAAAAAATCATAATATACTAGAACCGGGTCTTTCTAGCTTCCGTTCTGAGGATCCCCAAAGGCATCGCAAAGCGGATTGGAAGGTACATATGTAGTAGCCCTGAGGCGGCTAGGACAAAATGTAATAAGCTGAATATACTGAAAGCTAAAATATAATAATAATAATAATAATAAAATATCTTTATTCACATAGACGCTTGCGCGTTCTTATGAAACGTCAAAATTTTACAAGAAATTAACACGTTCGTATTACCACCGGTTCGGAAAGCAGTTTCTGTTGAGAAGAAACCGGCAAGAAACTCAACAGTTGCTTTTTAAAATAATATTTATTATTTATTTTAAAATAATTTCATCTATTTGATAAGGCAAAAGCAAATAAATATATAATAAAATATACACATTTTTATTGAAGCAACGGAACTTGTAAGCGTTAAAGAAATAGTAAGTTAAATGAGAACGGTGGATAAAAGATAATTGAAAAATGAATTCAATTTATACAACAAAGCATGTATTAAGTTAGCAAAGCATGTATTAATTAGCAATTCATAATTATAATGTGTCTTATGCATCTTATGTGCCATTAAAAACTTACCCTATATCGGTAAATCTCCTTTTTACTAGTTAACTAGAATTTTTAGGTATAACTATTTATTTAATAACAGGTTTCTGCGCAATTTTAAATATCGAATATCACTAAATAGTCAAACAAAGTCGTCCCGCTGTCTGTCTGACCCTATGTATGCTTAGATCTTTAAAACTACGCAACGGGTCTTGATGCGGTTTTTTTACTAGATAGAGTTATTCAAGAGGAAGGTTTTATATGTATAATACATTGCACCCGTGCGATGCAGGGGCGGGTCGTTAGTTAAGTTCATAAATGGTCAACGCTTGCCTGCTGGGACGCTAGACAAGCTTGAACCGCCTCACAGCTTCGAGGCGGCTGTCCTCTAGGGATATCAAAAAAATATCGATATATTTAATTTCAAATATTGATATTTTTAGCCGACATATTCATCATATATCGATATAAAATAATCAATATCTATATCGATAGTATCAAAACGATGTTTTTACTCAAATTTAATTCAGCAATACATGATGATGCATAATAATGATTGAATGATTAATAACAGAATTTAAAGCCGTAAAATATAAACAAAATGAATGGAAAAAATAAACTGTTGCCTATAACTAGTATTGTCTCGGATACATTTGGCCGTGGATTGGATTTTGTATCAGAATTACGGTATTTATACTACAATTTCATGCTCCGTACTATAAAACTACTATTCATATCATATACAGGTACAAATTATTATTATTGAACTACATGATAAGCTAATTTATAAATAGCATGCGAAATATTAATGGTATCAACTACAGTTACTTTACTTTAATATTTTTTAAATTGTCATTAAGCATTCTCACGTCATAAACAACTATCACTAAATTTTGCTAATCTGACGTGTATTTTAGGACAAGTCTATGAAAGTTCCTTTTTGACCTGTCTTTATCTCTGTTTTAAACAATTCTTTAAAACGAAGATAATGACACGAACACGAACGTAATGTTTTTTACAAAGTTACGTATATTTCAAAAATGTAGAGCTTGTAATAACGGTTTACAGGATTCTTTAGGGCGGACCCCTCATATATTTCTGACACATTTTGTGCTATAAACTATGAGCATGATAGGACGAGATTGCTGTTTTTTTTTTTTATTAGTTATGTTTTTGATTCAATTCAGGACATAAATAAAACTGATTTATCTTACTAAATAAGCTGTTTGTTTCTTCCAATTAAGGTCTAAGCTGATATTGATATTTTTATAAATATCGATATATCTTCATTTTCGACAGCCCTACTGCCCTCTGCGAGCAACCGTCCGCGTCGACCGGAAAGATCCCGGCGCTCGCGTCCTTCAATTAACCTTCCGCACTGCATTCAAAAATACCTATCATGGTTCAATGAAAGTACTTACAATGCGTTACTTACCTAATGAGAAGGAAATAACACACTAAACTAAATTAATTATTTACCTGTTCTATTTTACTAAAGTATTCTTAAAAGACGTAAATGAAAATAAAAGTTTTCTAATATTATTTTAATTCACAGAACGTATTTGCTTTTTATTTTATTCGCTTACTAATATACGAACATGTAACGTTCCGTTGCACCATAACTTTACTTTGATTTTCAACCGCAAATGACGTATAAAACTTTTGACTTGTTTATTAAAAATAATTATTATGAGTTAAGACTTAGGCAGTTTAAAAGCTCTTAAAAGACCTAGTTCGCTATTTAAATTGTACCCATCACTACCGCTAATATGTATGCAAAAAACGAACGCGGGGAAACGATCCGCTTTTATTAAAAAACAGTTTAAAACCCGCTTTGAAACGATGGCCCATAGTACGGAAAATGGATTTATTCTGAGGCGGTGTTTCGTTGAATTTCGATGCTTGAATAGTTCTTGTCATCGCCTACGTCCCTTTTCTTAATTATTAAAGCGAAAAGCCTCATCGGGATTTCTGATGTCCTTTTATAACGATTTATGAGTGATGTGAGATGTCAAGGAAAACATCGTGAGGAAATCTGCATATTTTCGAAATAATAACAAAAAAAAAACAAGTGACAAGAGAGCTGGTTCTTTTCTCGCTCAAAGGTTAAGCATAACTATTCAGCGAGGAAATGCAGCAAGCGTTCTTGGCACCATGCCACGTGGATTAGGTTTATTAGATAATATGTAATTTTAGATAGATTTAAAATTTTAAATATTAGATCAATAAAGATTGTACAAGTAAAGTAAACATATTTCGAAAATATGTTAAGTCCGCCAATATGGGGCCGAGTGGTGGACTATGCCCTCATACCTTATATACATAGGAGGCCTTTGCCCTGCAGTGACAAATGTATAGGTTGTTACTTTACTTTTTTCTTTTATGCTTAACATAACCAGTGAACCCACGACAAAATCACGCCACGGCCCTGACCACATACAATTCAAAAATATTTGTCGCTATCAAGCTTATATACCTAAAACTAAAGGTATCTGTAGCTTAACTATAGCTTTTGTCTTTTAAAAAGTAAATTATTAATCATTTTCTTTTCGGTTTGAATTCCTTATGTTAATTATTCATTATATTCTTACTCCATTTATAAACTGTAATATTTTTTCACTCTTTATATGCGAGATATTGTATCTTTTTACACGTACAATAAATATAAACGGTAAACGCTTATCATTTAATAAGTAAAATACTAAGAGCTTCCATATCGAACCTACATCAAGACAAATGGTATCTAGTTTCAAAGGAACCCTAGGGGGCCGTAGAACATTGCTTAAAAAAACCGGATGAAATTTCGAAAAAAAATAACACGGGCTTTTCACAAGCCATAGTTTCTCAATAAAAGTCGGGCAAAGCTGAATGCTTCGTTCCCCAGCTTTTCAATATATCGAACAACCGTTCCTAAAACCAATTTGCTCGGGGCGTATCAAAATAAATTCCGACTGAATACGTTCCAATTTCGTCTAGAATTTTATATCAGTTCATCCTCATTAAGCGATCCTATTGTAACGAATTACACTTCAAAATAATGGGACAAAGCTTATGAAAACAGTAAACAATTTATTTAATCGCAGCCTTTAGTAAACTGTAATCATTCCCTGAGAAATTAGGAAAGGAGAAAGTAATTGGGGCTCTCATTTGGAAAATTATCGTCAACGAAAGGCAACCTGACATGGCTTATCAAGTCATTCGAAATTATTCATTAGTTTGGAAGTTTAAATATCCGAAACAAATAACGATGAAGGAATACTTACGTCTTTCAGAGAGGTTGCGATGAATATGACGTATACGCTAGTGCCGCCTAAGCACACACATGCCATCGCGTAATCAGCAAAATGCCTGCGAAGTATAATAAATATAATACGTACTTCACCACCAAAATACGAGTCGTCTACTAGTACGTAGTACGATAATTTTCTTTAGATAATCATCGAGCAAATTCTCTTCTATAATGATATTAATTATAAAGTTATTCCGATATCAATTACTATAAAAGCTCTATTACGTCCCAGAATTGACTTCAAGAATATGTCATTTAGCCTACTCGTAAATTAGGTACCCCTTTATTTTCTTACTGTAAAGATCGTGAACGATAAATTCTGGAATGATTGAATAAAATACCTGGGAATAAAATAAGTTCCATTTTAATCGAAAGTAAATTGTATGTCGGTAATATGTCTGTAGCAATTTACCTCAAGAGTTATTTACTCAATAAATCCGGATTGATGAGTTTATATACAACTTTATATATAAAATGTTTTTCGATCAAATCATAGCAGTTGACTCATACCTGACGAATTGAGAATACTTTCTCAAACTTTTGGGGCCGTGCATAAACACCTTTTCACATGTTTCTGTGTAGCACAACGAACTGACTTGGCAATGTCTGCATATTTCACGCGATGTAGTGACCTGTAAAGGTAACAGCAGTTAGAATATTTACAATTTTATATACATATAAATGGATGCACCAAGCATTGATCAAAATTCGAAAAATCAACGTACATAAATGACGTTGAGTTTTTCGTTGTGGCAATTAGACGTTTAACTTAATAGTTAAAGAGTCTGCCGCGAATCCGTAAGACGTTGTTGCGACAAACTTTTCGTCCTTTTTTGGCAAAATTTAAAGTTGGAATTAATAACTATTGTATTTTAATTGGAATTCATATAGTCTTCTTTTAAAGAATGCTTTCCTGTGTCCTTTAATAGTTAAGGATAAAGGCGAGGAATGACACTGATTAGCGATAGATTTCACAGCGGTTCGTAGGTTCGAGTGCCACGCGAAACTAGTATTTTTATGATAGAAAATTGGTGGCTAAACAGAGCGTTTTGTAAAGAATAGAACAGAATTTACTTTGTTTTTTATACATTGCACACATAGAAAGAAAATACAGGAAACATAGTACCTGTATTTTCTTTTTGTCCTGTATTTTATTTTCGCTCTGTACTGATATTATTATAGAAATAAATAAATATCAATAAATATAAAAAAAAATATCAAATATCAAAATAGTGTATATACAGACGGCCTTATTGGTAAGGTAGCAATTTCTTTCAGGCAGCCTTAGGGTACAGGATATAGATAATAAAGTTGCGGGATAGTGGTACAAAAATTGTATTAATACGTATGAGAAAAAATCAAACATAATACATATCTATATAATAACAAATACCTAATATAAATAATTATACTATAACTAGATGGCTCGGCAGACGTTGTTTTGCCATATAAATTATTTCTGGAGGAATCGGAACGCACGCATAAAGTGTTTGACAGGTTACGCAGACATAGTTGACAGGTTGACAGGTACAGTTTGTATGGGAAAATAAAATTGTTGCTATTTCGATTTTCCATGCAATTTTTCCATAATTTTCCTTCCCTGGACTGCCTCAAATATTTCAAAACCAAAATTAGCCAAATTGGTCCAGCCGTTCGCGAGTCTAAGCGAGACTAACGGACAGCAATCCATTTTTATCTTCTTCTTATATATAGTCTTAGTGTTCGTGTTCGTAGTCTTAGTGTTCGGATGATCTTACCACTATCGCTTGATGGAAGAATGATTAAAAGGCCACTCGACTAGCTTAACCGCCCTTTTGATTTCTGCACACAATTATCTGCCGCTGATTCTCACCGTAATATGAGAGGGTAAATACAAGGCCTATAAATTATTTTTTATATGATAACTTCATAAAATGAAACTATTTTACGGAATTTATCGCGTTTAATACGTAAAAATGTTTCATCACAATGCACAACATTCGCGTTAAATCAAGAAATCAATAACTTCATAAAAGCAAAGAAATTTCTTTGTGCGGTGTCGTATAACATGTAAAGTAATTTTCGCAGTGGAATGTTCTTCTTTTCAATGCGGATCCATAGCACGAAATTGCCAAAAAAATTCCTTTTTTTTTATTATAGCAATTTCGCAATGTTTGCCTCTTTTAACCCCAATTTATGCTTCGCTGATTTAGGTGAAAATGTCCGTCGAATTTATTAGAAGTAAGTTATTGTGTGTTGTATTATTTTTGTTTATTAAATAAATGCTAACATTTGCAGGATCGTTTATTACATATAATAAAAATTTCTTATATTACCTTGCATGTATTGTATTGTGTCTTGAAAATCATATTGTGTCACATTCATTTGCACGATTTATTTTCCGATATTTCTAATGCTTGACATACAATTATACGAACGATTCTCTTACGATTGGCTTCACCGAGTGATTAACCAAAAAGATTTTCAAATAACTATTTTCTTACTTCACTCTAGATTTGTACCAACGAGCCATGTCTTTGACTTAGACATTTTGTATTGAATATAGAATTTAAGCACCTATCAAAACATTTGGCTCATCTTAAACATTTAATTCCACGCAGATCATTTAGATCTTCAGTGAATACCGCCACCCATGGACATCTACTCCCGAGGGCATGCAGAATAAAAAAAAGACTGTAATGGATAAAAAAAAGAATCATCAAAGTCGGTTCATAAACGACGAAGTGATTCGCGAACACACTTAAAAAAATATATATGTATACGGTCGAATTTCTCAATTCATATACGCCGTTTTAACCCACTTCCTTTTTGAAGTCGGCTAAAAACTGCAGTCCCGGTTTACCTCACTCACCAGACGAGAGGCGGAATTATAACACTTCCAACTCACGTCGGTTTTCTTGGAGACCGTAGTATTTCCCATTCGTGCACAGCATAAGCTATTGCGTAGCACTGCCACAGTAAAGTGGTACATAATTATTTACTGTCAATAATAGATATTAAAAAAGAAAGTGTAAATTTTCGAATATACAAACGAAGCCATATACAAAAATTTACGATGCAGCGTGTAGTTTCTTAGCATTGCCTAGTAGCCTTTTGGTTTAGCATCGCTGCCGTACTCTCTGGCAGTGGTTTGCCCTTGATGTTTGATAGTCAACGAAGGGGCTCGGTCCGTCGTGTACAACTAACTAGGTTATAAAACGGTTTACATTTCACTGGACCATATAATCGCTAATTTATATTTTCACTATATACAATAGATATGACACTAGCGCACCAAAACTGAAGCACTCAAATTATACCAGTTGGTGTAATTCTTTATATTGCTATCTCTTTCCCTACCATACGTTCTATATCATCTGTCACATTCACTTGTATTTTTAAACACCATTCAGTATGGACATGCGTCATCTATACATTGTATTATTAAACATCATTGTTTAAACCACTCAAAAAACGGTCGTGATCAATTTGACGTAGACGTTTTCTACGCTTGAATAAAGTCGTTCATAATAAACGTGGGCTGGAAACTAATTTATTCGTTCGCCTTGAAGAAACATTATGAAAAAAGTTTTTTTTATTCAACGCCTACTGTTACTATCGGCTGGTGTAGTTAATGCTTGTCTTTATTGCGGTACATACACTATACTATATTAATTCTGGTATATACAGTGGACAATATACAGATATGCTCAAAAACTTCTTCAAAGTTTTCAATTCAAGCTTTCGTTTTTGTCATAATTATATATTCGGTAATTTTTATGTTCGTATTCGGCCGAATATTCAGACATTTAGCCAAACAATGCCGAATGTTATAGAATTATTAAAATAGATTTAAATATTTAAAAAGCTTTATTCTGTGAACCGTGTATAATATTTGTTAATGAAAAAATACTTATACACTTGCCTTTAGTAGCAATCGCTTACTTAAAAAATAAAAATCAATGTTACATAAAATATATTTTTCGACACAACATGTTAATGTCCGCTGGATAAAATTTTTAATAAAAATAGTGGCCAATTTAAAAGTACGGTTTAACAATTTCTTAATTTTCTTAAGTAAAGGTAAATAACTTTAACTCCGGCGTAATTCAAATCAAATAAATTTTAAACGATAGAGATAAATCTCTAATGAATTAATCAACAAGCAGAATTCGGCGGTCGCTTATAGTTTTCGAGAAAAAAAATATTTAAAAAAACTTGTTTTTTGTACTAAGAAATCCACCATTTTATTCGTTTGACTTCAAAGGTTCTTTACACAGTTCTGCCAACATGATAAATATAGGAAGCGGGCGCCATCATACACGTATCGATATTCCGATTTTTTAAATTTAATGAGTCACAGAACCGACACAGAGCGAATCCGACTCGGATAGATTAGGTTAGAAGGTTAAGGCGGGAGCGGAGCTCCCGCCTTAACCTTCGATGTTAGGTTTTTTTTTATGACCACCAAGAAATACGAGCTGAATTGACATATTGACAACAAAAAAATGGCGGATTTCTATAGTAAAAATCACACTATTTCATTATTTATTTTTTCGAAAACTATAAGCGACCGCCAAATTCTGCTTGTTGATAAATTCGTAAGTGAGTTTTCTCTATCGTTTAAAATTTATTTGATTTGAATTACGCCGGAGTTAAAGTTATTTACATTTACCTTTTCTTAATATAGAAAAATTTAAATAAGTAAAAATATATATTTGAAAGAAATCAATCATTTCACTATTTGAAGTCATAAATAATAAAAGAAGTATTTTAGTTACAATGTGACAAAGTCATTCATGAAATCAATATGAAATATAGGGATGTACGAAAAGTGCTTAGACGAATTCCGATACCATTAAAGTATCGAGACTAACACAAAGGATTAGGTTTCATATTGTCTCTCGGCAGTAGTATCGAGAGACAATATGAACACACCACAAAGTAAGTAGTTATTTGAATGCTATTAAAGTAACGATACCTACTCATGCCCGATGATTTAATCATATTTTCAACCTGCTTAAAAAAGAGGAGGTTCTCCATTCGCCTGTATTTTTTTTTTATGTTTGTTACCTCAGAACTTTCGACTGAGTGAATCGATTTTGTTGATTCTTTTTTTTTTTTTTTTTTTTTTTTTTTATTTGAAAGCTGGTGCTTCCCATGTGGTATCATGTATTTCATTGGCATAGATCGTGGGCTTCGGAGATACTTGGGGAGCCTCGGAAGATCAAATATAAAATGAATACAGAGCGATATATTAGAATGCGGCTGTAAAAATAAAAAATGGACTTGTTACCCACTAAAATCCATGTTCAAAAATTTTCAATTAACTATGACGATTCGAAACAACTAACTGAACAATAATTTACCCTGGGTCGTACCTGGATTGTTGTAAGCAGAAAACTACCGTGGAGAAAATAACAATATGATTGACACAACAAAAACAAATAGGTGAAATAGGCATCCAGGAGAAAGATCAACCAGGGAAAGCGATGTTGAAGGCCAAGTCACGAATAGAATAGATATTTGTGTCCCGTACCAAGACTGACGCGTGTTTATTAAAGAAAAACCCGAATTAACATGAACTTTTATTCCGATACTATAAGTACAGTAAGTAAGTGTATTTAATTACTTAACTACAACTTGGAGGAAAAGGCCTGTTCAAAGTCTATATAAGTACATATAATATATTAAGCATAATAAGATATGATAAAACTCAATCAGACGGAAATCCTCAACTGATGGGGGCCAAATGGCCGAGAGTAGTGATATAAAGACACCGACAAAAATAATATAACATATGTACGTCGTTAAATATCATTTCTTCTATTATTCCTTTAAGATATTTAATCTAATTCGTTATAACTTATTATACAGGGAGATTTTTTGAGAAGTGCCCAAATTTACACAGGAGGTTCAGACTCGGTATTATAATCGTTTATTCGTATAAAAAACAAAGTTTTTTTTCCAAAAAAAAATGCCATTCTATTCCCTAAAAAACAGAACGTGTTGACAATGCGGTAGTCATTCATAACACGAACTTGTGTGCGTAGTAATTATGAATGATCGCGCGTAAAATAAATGAGTTGCATATAAATCACGCAATTTTTGAGATAAGTTCACCGCGTAATAATAAATACGCGAGGTTCAGGCTAGGCACCTCGAGCGCCCGGCCACCTCAAGTCCGTCGGAACTTTAAAGGCCCCTAAGGCCAACAGTGGCTCATCCAGCCCAAAAAAAAAAAAAAGATAAGTTCAAATGAATGTAATTAATTACTTACGAGTGATTTTAAACATTTATAATTTTTGTATAACATTAGTTATGTCTAGAATCTAATTAAAAAAAATGTATACACTTAGAAAAGCCACTCTGTATACCTATATCGTGGTGCATATTATACATACTATGTATAGTATCACCACGTTTTGAATGATGACTGCATGCATCTCTAGATATATCCAATTATTTTTTACGTACATTTGTTAAATGAACTCGATTCTCTCTATTACCTCAGTCGATGACTAGCATTTTATCTGCATAGTCACTGTTTGACATTTATTGCCATTTTGACAGATACACGGCTTACCACTTTTCGCGCTTGGTGTTAAATCCCTACTAATATTATAAATTTAAATATAAATTGTTACTCTTTTACGCCAAAACTACTCAATCGAATTATCATCTAACTTTGTACACATACTCTTAGGGGTATTAAAAAGGACATTTTAAAATATATATATTTAAAGGCTTCAGGCGAACGTGGGTAAAAACTAGTACTATTAATATAACTTTGATAGATTTATCGGGAAGGGTACATATTTGAGTATAAGGTTGATATTAAGTTTGTCATCACTTTCTCCTCTTATTCATTATTTTGTTTATTTGCACCATATAATCTCTTTATTTATCTGATTTAACTGAATTCAGCGGTCTCACGTGTGGAACACGTTGATGGAATTTTATTTTAATATATGATTATACCAACAGTTCCGTCTTGATTCTGGTCTCCAGATTTCAATCAACCAATAATACGGCAATTTGTTTATTAAAATTGGTAACGTTAACGGCAGAAATTATCTCACTAAGCTAGTTTCATTTGAGATCCTTCACAGTAACCTGTACTATCCTTAATAACGGGTATACTCGTAAACAACAATGTATTCGCCATTTTTCTCTCGCTACATGATGGTTTATTGTACCGGTATATAAGCACGAACCAATTAAGTTTTTCGCCGTTTCAATCAAATTTTAAAAGAAGTGATGTAATATCTTTAACGAATGCAATATTTACTGAAGCAAAAGCTAACCAACAATCACCAAAACAAGTATGCCATGATAAATTTTCAACCATTTTACAGGGTCCACGGTTTGTTTAGCATTTCTAAAATTAAGAAGAAATTATCTAAATTATATTATTAAATTATTACCTTAAAATCATATTCTTCTACGCTAGGATCACATTACTCATATTATAGATACGTTATCACAAATTAAACACAGACAAACACTAAGACCTGGCTCAATAATCAATCCATATAAATATTTCTCTCCGTAAAGAGGCGAACCAACCTCCCACACCGCTAGTGTAATCTAATGTAGTATATTTACATTTCATCACACGATCTTTCAAACACGAGTAGATTCTCTCAAGGACTTGATGTGGGCGAACCATTCAATGAATTTCATTTCAGTGGGATGAGCGATCTTGATTAGAAGAAGGAAGCCATTTTCTATTATTTGTTTTAATATGACATTCTTGTTGTCTCCACAAAAGCTATTCAATAATAATTATACATAAAAAGTGTTCCCTTACTGTAGACCGTGTACAGAATAAACAGAATTATTTTAACCAAATTCGAATAGAAACAAATTTTAAACCTATATAAATTTGCAAATATTAACACATTTTTTAACACATCCTTTAACATTAGGCTAATCGATTAGCTATTAAACTTACTGATTATTTCTTCTAGCATACGTCAAAAATGAAAACTACATGGGCACTGCAACATGTGCCAAACATTACCTAGTATTATCCTACAACAACTCGTTACATTATGTATGTCATCAATAAGAGGGTAGAAAGATATAGCATGAATGGTATTACCACGGCATGCAATAAAATTAGATGGCATGTATGTAATCATCAGCATATTAATTAACAATTTTATTAAGTTCCAAAATGAGTAAGTGGGTGGAACAAAAATCAGACAACCTTTTTTTGCGACAGCCAAAAGATTCTAGTTCAAGTCTCATGTCCTGGCTACTAATTACGTCACCCCTGCCTAGTAGATCAGCACCTAATACGGTAACTAATAAGCAAATTTATCGGAGACGGCGCCAGGATAGCTATATTCGAAATTCATGGCCTACTAGGTCGTTGTGGCGATATTCTTCAAAGATTTTATACTTTGTTGCACGTGGGTGGACCACGTAAGTTTTGATTTCGTAAATCATCTGTAAACATCGTTCATCAGTAGGTATTGCCTAAGTGCCTTGTGATTTTCCGAAATAAAGATTATTTTTATTACTACCTATGCAAAAAATCGATGACAAAACGAATGTATCGCGTTTAAAAGACAGTACCCGGAGGACTACTGTCTTTTAAACGCGACTGTTTTTTTTTTTTTTTTTTGGTAAATCGTGTGTTTTGGAAATTACATTTAGATACAAATTACTGAGTAATGAAATATGCGTAATATTTTTCGATCTTACCGACGTAATAATAAGAAAATACGAACTGATGTTTTTCACAAAAGAAAGAACTTAAAAAAAAAGGGAAAAAAATAACAAAATAACAAATCGACAAAAAATAAAAGATAAAGAAAGCAATGATTTGGAATCGAAAAAAAAGTAAAAAAATAAGTGTGTAAATGATCGTGATACGAACCACGGCCTTCTGTTTCGTGGCTGTTTGTTAGCGGCCGCCCGATTACCGACCGAGCTATTATAACATTTTTTTTTTCGGTGAAATTTACCGTCGTATTCGAATAATATTTTTCATTCCCCGAAAACTGGGATAAAACGACATTTTCTAAAAATGAAACCTAGTCAGATCGATTTTTCGTCCCCGAATCTACGCACATGAAAATCGCTGGAGCCGTTTCCGAGATTCGTTTAAAGGGTAAGATAAAGGCAGATACGAGGAAAAAAAATTAGATTCTTACTAAAATATGAACGCAGTGCGTCGCTATGAGTCCAACTAGGGCGGTCCCGATGCATCCAGGTATCATTCCAGTGTGCTTGAATGCAGCAGGCATCGCCAAGAGCCCCGTGCCCAGAGAAGACTTCAGAAGGTGGAAGAACGAACCGACAGTCCTATGGATCACAAGGCAAATGAACAATCCACTAAGCACAGACTGCTTTAAATCTATATTGCACTATTGTGCGTGCAGTATTCTCGTATAAGTCTGTCAAACAAACATAAAATAGGAATTAACTTAGCTTAACGATTTTGATAATGTTATGAATACAAATAATGATGTGTATTTATTAATTCTCTGGGCGACATAGAATAAAAAGACAATAAACATTAAACATCATATATAAACAGTATTACAAATCAAAAGCAAACAAAGATTTCAATTCAAACATATAAAAAAAGACAAGAACATAAATGCTTCGTACAAGTTTTTAAACTGGTATGAAGGAAGTTTAATTAAGTATTTAACCTTCATATTGTTTGAAGGTAAGAAGTACCTAAACGAGTTACCAACACGTTATAGACTTTATTCGTAGTTGAACGATACATGAATTAGTTGTACCGCTATCTAAATCGCATAGTTAGTACAATATTGTCTCAAATTTCTCGCAAACTTGAAAACTTTGAGGGTGGCATCTTTTATTATTTTCATAATTATTTAAAGAATAAATTAGTAAACTCTGAAAGATTGCTCTTCGCTTTAATTTTTAATTGGGACACACCAATTTTCGGAACAGGTATGTATGTACATACATACATAACGATTGATTAAAGTGTTTTACTTACGACGTTGGATGTGTTACATTCCGGTGTTCCAGGGGATTGTAGACCTCTTGGCTTTCGGCCAGATCCTTACCGACGACATTCAGAGTAACCGTTGACTGCATGGGCAGGGGATCACAGCTCTCGCTGCTATTGAATTAAGAAAATTAGATGTCACGCAAAATATTTTATGGCAATCTCGAGTGCTGATCCAATTATTATTTATACGGCACAAAATTCTTTATATATATATATATATATATATATATATATATATATATATATATGTGTGTATTGTGATGTTGCTGTTTCGATTGAAGTGAAGTCCAGTCATGGAAAGTTGAGTACCAACGATACGACTCTTTAGCATAAGATAGCATAAAATTATTGGACTCAGTTTGTAATTCACTCACTTTACCTATTTAGTATTGTCTTCGAATTTCTAGATATTTAAAAATGTTTAATTTTATTTAGGGTTTATTGATATTATATTTAAAAGATTAAATCTATCTAAAATTACATATTATCTAATAAACCTAATCCACGCGGCACGGTGCCAAGAACGCTATTTGCATTTCCTCGCTGAATAGTAATTATGCTTAACCTTTGAGCGAGAAAAGAACCAGCTCTCTTGTCACCAGCCGCGGCGTTAAGCTTAGGACATAAACTTTTAAAAAATGTTGATGACCCCACGGACCTAAAGTTTCAACAGCAAATGACACAAATACATAATCTAAACATAAAGACTCATATTTGCGCCATTTACTTAATGTAAAATGTTTTATTTTAATATCGCTATTGGTTTACTTATATTAATTTCCTTACATTATGATCGAACCCGGTACAATAATTATGTGAAGTTTTCCATTAAAGCTGTAAGCAGCTATCTAAAGGAGACGGGACAACTATTTGTGTGACCCACAGATTTCACGATTCGCATCTGGGCGGTTGTACACGTGAAGTTTATGTTTGTAAAACGTCCTAACATCACAGGATAATGTTATCCTAAAGTAAGGGCAATATTTAATAAAAAATTTAAACTTTTAATTTTATTGTTGTAGAGTCAAGCAGTAGCTTCTCCTATTGCGAGAATAGGCAAGCTTGCCCGGGGAATTGCAAAGGCCTCATGAAGAATAAGTATTATATTTTAGCGTTTCATCTGGCGATTGAGGCAGCCAGAGCTCATTTTTTTAAAGATCTCAGGTGCCTGCTCGCCAAATTTTTACTTAAGTAAGTCTGCATACAGATGTCATCCTTCACCAGCCGTGAGATATTTAAATTCCAATTTGATGTGACTGCCGTTGTCAGATCATTTTTATAATTATTAAGGACACGAAATTATTAGCGTGGAAAAAAGACTCGGATTGATGACACAGAGAGTTTTAGAGAGTTCAAATGAAACTGAAAATTATATTCAACAGTTACCGCGGAAAGAGGCGTTTTAATTTAAATTGAACATTTTTGAACAGCAATTCAATTAAAAAAATAGACTTTTTTTTCACTGACGTTTTTCACACATAATTCGCATTTCTCTTAGCCTTGTGTTTGCCACACACTTCGATTGATTGCGTATACAACGATATCCCTGCTGTGGCTTACTGACGAAGATCGTACTTTATTATTTTATTTAGTTATATGGTTTATTTACTGATATTGAAATGGCAAGTAGACCAACACGTCACTTGTGTCCGCCGCACGACCACCTTCACGGCTTTCACCCATGCATGCAACACCCGCGTTCAAGGGGTCGTTCCCACCACCACCAGCCACCGATTAATCAAGCACAGTCGACGGGCATCGGGGTCAGGGTGCGCATTGAACCTCGAAAGCCCGTAGGCAGTACTCCCTTAGTTAACGCACGCATGAGCACATGCGTGGCCCTACCCACTGCGGAGGGCCCCAAACCCGTGGGTTCTGGCTAGCCCACGGGTCCTGCGTTCGATGAAGCTTTAATAGTCTACGGATTAAAAGCGCTAACTTCAGTTACAACATACAATTTCCTCCTGAGTGGACGAGAAACATTGCAAATACTGGACCACTAGGGTGTAGTGGAAAAGCACACGTGGACAACAGAGCCGACATCCAATAATAATGCCCGGTAACGTAGGTCAACGTATATTCGTCGCTTAATAAACGTCACTAGTTTGTATACTTAAGCGATGGTGCACTTTTTATCTGTATGATTAGAATCTTGACACTGGATCACACTATTATAGTTAATACTGGCGTCACGTCAACTAGTGTCAATATTTTTAATTCAGCGTTAACCCTTTTCAGAATCTCATATTGCCTGAAGTTTTCATCAATTGTTTGGCATTAGCTAAGATTCTTCTTAATAGATTATTACCTCATTTATAATATCATTGGTCAATAACCCTGTCGTTACGCTTTCTATATGGGCCAAAATATTGAAAGATTTTTTTTCGTAGTTACGGTTTTCTTAGAATAAATATGGTCTACTGTGCTCTGCAAAAAATTGTACAAATAAAACCAACATAATTGCACTCTAGAGGTTTCGTGAAAATGTCGTAATAAGCTAGCCCGCAGAAACCCTGCGGGGCTGATAAAGCTTTGTGTCCATGAACATGAAAGCGCAAATAACATTTAAGGACAAAAACATACTGTACTTCAAATATATTGAAAATTATTTTCTATTTTTTTAGTTGTGATAAGTATAAAAACGTATTTTATATTTTTTAATTTTTAAACATTTTTTAAATGCGTACTTAGCACAAGTATACTAGTGGGTATCGAATTTGGAGAAAAGAGACAATCCTAAATGTCCTGATCAGAATTATTGCATTGTCATGGGCCATTGACGAGTGTGCAAAGTTTGATTCAAAGTAGGTTTCTGATCGTTCAAAGTAGGACAAAATCACGTTTAAATATTCCGTTACACACATACATACAGATGACACTAATATAATCGTCTCAAAAACAAATGCCCACATTGTAAAAATAGTTTCAATTAATAATTACATATGAATTAAATTTGAAGAAATAAATATTTTTACACGTCATCTAGTCCCAAACTAAGCAACGCTTTCACTGGGGATACTAGACAAATGATAAACATACTTAAAAGTACTTTTCTTTTGTAAACAAATACATATATTGGCCATTATTGCCAGCTCACCATTATGCAAAACAATGTTTTTATAACAAATCGCTTATAATATTATCACAAAATTTTATTATTTTTTAAATATATAAAGTTTTAAGGTTATTTATTGGCCCTCATTAAATTGAGGGCAAAACCCTCGAGTTAAAAGGTTATAAAAGAATATCCAGTCGTTGACTTTCAAGTTTTGATCTTTATATGCATATTATTGATATTTTTCGAGATTTCTATTTTCCCAGCGAAGGTAATAAGTGTGTTTAACGATCTCTTTGTGATCAATTTAAAAAATATGGAAGCCAAGTGCAAATTTACGGCACATTATAATGATTCGGTTGAAAACAAATTTAAAAAGCAATTATTGCAATCTCTCAATTGAATCGTCATTTTAAATGTTGTTTATACTATAAAAAAATACAAATAGTTTCAATATGAATCTAATAGTGAACCTATCAATAGAACGACAATTTACAAACATGTCAAATGATAGAATTATATAACTTACTATATTTAACTAGACTTAGTTGCCGAATATACAATATACAGAAGACAAATTGAGGGAAATATAAAAGATGATCTTCATCAGTTTTTATTTTTCTACTGGTCTTTATACTTAGTTTAGGATTAAAAAAAATTTCTAAGTAATAATTACAATATTTAAGTGTTGAAAGTTTTGTTCTTATAACATCTTAAAAATAACCCTTCGTCAATAATGATTCACCAAGTCATAAAAACATAGTAAGGTTTTCCTTAAATAAGTCATCTCCAGTCTCAAGAACAGCAACAAGTAGTTCTTTTTACAAAAAAAACGAATTGTTTACGAACAAAATCAATGTGCTCTTTTCTCAGAAATAAATAAGAATTCCATGCTAATCTTTATATATTTATATAATTCTACTGTACATGTATATGTCACTGTACTCCTCCTTAACGGCTGGACCAATTTTAATAGTTGTTTTTGTGTGTCTTCAGGTCGCTTCGAGAATGGTTTAGATTCACAATTCGGGACACTACATCTTTTTTTTTTTTTTTTTTTTTATTTATAAGTTGTCGGATTTAAGTCGTGTGTACAGGACGTCTGTCGGGTCCGCTAGTGTTATATAATTGCGCATAGGTCGCGCATTTTAAATATGACAGACTTTATAAAAACCTGTTTCAATATTTTATCGTTTTCATTACTATTTTCTGAATTCTAGCAATCATGAGAACATGTTACAGTTGCCATGGTCACGGAATGTTAGATGTGGCTCTGTATTATAAAATAACAATAACACAGAGAAACTTTAGAGGGTAACACAACATAACAGTAATGAATACACCAGAATCAAATTTTTGGTCATAAGTGGTAGATTTCGGATTATAGATTTATTTTAGACATAGAAATCCGTTTTATTGACGGGGATGATTACAACATTTACTAAGCCCGCCGTTATAGGTGCTAAACACAGACTTACGGCAATGATGTTAAACTGTCACTGTCTGTAAATGCGGGGTATATTCACCTAATTTCGGCCGCGGAGCATAGGGAATACGGCGTGGAGAAGTACCGACACTACTTGCATAGGTTAGAGTGGCCGAATCACATAGTAGCAATCCTCCCTACGGGATTTGCGTTCGATGAAGCTTTAATAGTCTACGTACTGAAAGCGCTAACTCCAGTTAAAACATAAACATAAACATAACAATCCTCTTCCCCCGCGGCACCAACGTGATTACAGAGGACAGGGAAAATGAAACCCCCTTCGTGCCTCGACGCATGTTTTTATGTATCTTTTTCCAATGTCATGTAGTACGTATTAGCATTCAAGTTAAGTTGATTTAACCTTGATATACAGTTATTTATGTTCAGAATAACCACTGAAGAAAAAACACTCCAAATTCCGTCGTCTAGCCTTTTAACGTAAAAGCTACCTAAACTTAAGCTGACGCAACTGCGAATGACATAAACGTTCTTACTGAAACTTTATTTCTTAGAAGAGCTTCTATAAGAGCCTAATTATCGAAATATTTTGAATATGTTCTACTTTAAAAC